AAAGGTGATCCCATACAATGTGGAAATTATCAAACATTATCATTAATATTGCATGCAAGTAAAATCTTACTGAAGGTAATTCAAAAATGGTTGCAGCAGTATATTGACAGAGAACTTTGAGAAATGCAGGCTGGATTCAGAAAAGGACACAGAACAAGAGATATCATTGCTGTTCTGGTTACCTAGTGCTGCTCCAAAAAGAATATACCACAAATAGGATGGCCTTAACAAACAGGAGTTTATTCTCTTACAGTTTGGAGGCTAGAAATCCAAGTTCCAAGTGCCAGGCTCTAGGGGCTGTGTGAAAGCCCCTTGACCTTTGGCTTCAGCTCTGCCTTTTGCTCCTAGCCCACTGAAGCCAGAGGCACCTCTTCACTCAGGCAGCTACTGGCTGTTGAGGCTAAGAAGCCCAAGGTCGACAAATAAAATGGCACAATCCCAATGTTACCAAACCACACAGCAGGTCATTAATTCAAGTTCATTGTACGTCCCAAGGTCGGCAGAGCATGGCAGGCTGCTGAACAATGACACAGCTACATGCAGGGCCCAAGCATGCCATAAGCTAGAGAACATTCCCAAAGCTTCTACTTATATTTGGGAAGCAGACCACATACCCACAGGCAGCTACTCAGCTGCTCACAGTAGATTCCACCGTGGAGTTGATTACCAGTTTCATCATGGGGAATACTACATCCAGCTCCCTAGCCACTCAACCAGGCCTAGCCAAGTTGACACACAAACTGAACTACCACAATTGCTGATGTCAGATGGATCTTGGCTCAAAGCAAAGAATACCAGAAAGATATTCACTTGTGTTTTATTGACTATGCAAAAGCATTTGATTGTGTGGATCATAACAAATTATGGATAACATTAAGAAGAATGGGCATTCCAGAACACTTAATTTTACTCATGAGGAACCTGTACATAAATCAGGAGGCTGTTGTTCAAAAAGAACAAGGGGACACAGCATGGTTTAAAATCAAGAAGGGAGGGTGTCAAGGTTGTACTTATTCAATCTATATACTGAGCAAATAATCTGAGAAGCTGGACTATATGAAGAAGAATATGGCATCAGGATTGGAGGAAGAATCCTTAACAACCTGTGTGATACACTGATGACACAACTTTGCTTGCTGAAGGTAAGGATGACTTGAAGTACTTACTGATGAAGACTGATGATTATAGTCTGCAGTTTGAATTACACCTCAATATAAAGAAAATAAAAATCCTCAGAACTGGACCAATAAGCAGCATCACAATAAATTGAAAAAGATTGAAGTCATCAAAGACTTCTTATTACTTGGTTCTACAATCAGCACCAATGGAAGCAGCAGTAAAGATAACAGACAATGTACAGCACTGGGCAAATCATTTGCAAAAGATGTTTTCAAGTGCTGAAGGGCAAAAATATCTCCTTGAAGACTAAGGTGTGCCTGACACAAGCCATGGTATTTTCAATCACCTCATATGCATGTGAGAGCTGGACAATGAATAAGGAAGACCAAAGAAGAATCAATGCTTTTGAGTTATGGTGTTGGCAAAGAATGCTGGAAGGCCCATGGAGTGCTAAAAGAACTAATAAATCTGTCCTGGAGGAAGTGCAGCCAGAATGCTCCTTGGAAGCGAGAATGGCCAGACTTCATCTCACCTACTTTGGTTGTGTTGTCAGAAGGGACCATTCTGTGGGGAAAGATATCATGCTTGTTAAAGTGGAGGGTCAACAAAAAAGGGGAAGGTCTTCTACAAGATCAATTGACACAGATGGACTCAAGTATAGCAAGGATCATGGAGCTGGCACAGGACTGGACAGTTTTGTTTTGCTATACATAGGGTCACTACGAGTCAGAGATGACACAATGATACCTAACTACAACAACAGGTGCCAAGTTGATAAGGGGTAGACTATGATAGTTTAGGGTTGTTTGTCAACTTAGCTGGACCATGATCCTAAGTGATTTAGCAGTTATGATATGATCCCCCATGATGAGATCTAATATAATGTAATCACCTCCCCGATGAGATCTGCTTTGTACAGCCACTCTGTTGATAGGGAGTTTCCTCAGGGGGGTGGCCTACTTCCAGTATACATGAAAATGCTCTGGCAAAACTCTCTCACTTTTTGTTCAGTCTGGATCCTGCATCTGCTTCATCGTCATCTGACCTTCGATTCCTGGAGTTGAACCAGTGGCCTGCCGTATTGCCTGCTGATCTTGGGATTGTTGCCTTCAACTGAGTACCAAGTTTAAATCTCTGTAGCCTTCCCTTACCCAACTACATAGAAATGTTACCTAATCTGGGTTTCTGCAGCATTTTCTACATAACCCTTATCACGCTGCCTCAGATAATTAACCGTTCCCTTCCAAATTCCATTCTTGTAAGCTCATACAGACTCAGGAGTATGTCTTTCTTCTCAGTATCTACTGTGCCCAGCTATGTTAATTGAAATGAATCAAAATGGTTATTACCTTATCCTTGAAAACAGACAAAAATTGTTTTTATAGAATCTAGTTATCATCTCCATCTTTTTTTTTAAAGCTTATTCTTTTCTTCAATGTATTTTTACATGAAAAACAGATAAAGAGAGGGCTACTAAAATCACAACACTGATAGTGATAATTAGTGTCTATAGGAGCTCTGGGAGCTCTGGTGGCATAGTGCCTAAGGCATTTGACTGCTAACCTCAGAAGGTTGGTGGTTCAAACCCATCAGCCCCTCCATGGAAGGAAGATTGGGCAATGTATCACAGTGATACTGCTTGGAAACCCAAGGAGGGGTCACTATGTGTCGGATCCGACTGGACAGCAGTGAGTTTGGTTTTTTGGTTATAGGAGCTCTGGTGGCGTAGTGCCTAAAGTATTTCACTGCTAACCAGAAGGCTGGCAGTTCAAACCCACCAGCCACTTCTGGGAAGGAAGGTTGGGCAATCTACTTCTGTAGAGATACCGCCTCAGAAACCCAAGAAGTGGTCGCTATGAGTCAGATCTGACTCGATAGCAGTGAGTTTGGTTTTTTATATGTGGTACAAAGGAGTTCTGGTGTCACAGTGCCTAAGGCATTTAACTGCTAACCAGAAGGTGGTTCGGTCCCACCAGCCACTCCATGGAAGGAAGATGGGGCAATCTATTTCTGTAAGGATTTACTGTGTTGGAAACCCAGTGGGAATTGCTATGAGTAGGAATCAACTAGATGGCTGTGAGTTTTTTTTTTTTTTTTTCTTTTAATGTGGTAGATAGGAGCAGTGGTAGCATAGTGGTTAAAATATTCAGTTGCTAACCAAAAGTTTGGCAATATGAAACCACAAGCTTGCTCCACAGAATGATGAGGGAATTTGCTTCTAAAGATTTATAGCCTTGAAAACAAAATGGGGTTTTACATTCTCCCATAAGGTCATCAAGGAGCTCTGGTGGCTCGGTACCTAAAGCATTTGACTGCCAACCAGAAGGTTGGCAGTTTAAACCCTCCAGCGACTCCTTGGAAGGAAGACAGGGCAATCTACTTCCGTAAAGACTGATGGCCTCGGAGACCCAATGTAGATCACTGTGAGTCAGAATCAACTTCATAGCAGTGGGTTTTATGTGGTAGAAGGAGTTCTGGTGGTGCAATGATAAAAACATTATGCTGCTAACTAATAGGTAGGTGGTCTGAACACACCAGCCAATGGGGATAAATATTTGAGGAAGTTTGCTTCCGTAAAGATTTACAGCCTTTGGAAACCTTACAGGGGCAGTTCGACTCTCACCTATAGGATTGCTGTGAGTCCAAATCTACTTGATGACAATGGTTATATGTAGTAGATGTCTGGCTACCTATTTTAGAGACACTATTTTTAGGAGTTCTGGTGGCCGAGTGGATAAGGTATTTGGCTGTTAACCAGAAGATTAGCAGTCCAAACCCACCAGCTGATCCACGAAAGGAAGATGGGGCGATCTACTTCCATAAAGATTTACAGCCTTGGAAACCCAATGCTGGTTGCTATGAGATGGAAACAACTGGATAGCAGTGAGTCAGGTTTTCTTTTTTTTTGTTTGTTTTATTACTTAATTATCTCAACTATCTTATAAAATACATACTATTACTATCCCCATTGTACAGCTAGAAAATTACAGTTCAGAGGATTTATGCAATTTGCTCAACAAGGTCAAAGGGCCAGGAAACGGAGCCAGGACTAAAATATAGAACTCACTTCAAAGCCAGAAATCTTAACCCTTACACTCATGGTACTACCTTCTTCAAATCAAGAGACTCTATAATTCAGTTCCCTTGGTGAAGCTCAGAATAAGCACCTTCCACAGTTCATTGGTCCTCCTGTTTGACAGCAAAGATCCTAAAGTTGTAACTGCACTGCTGATCAGACCTGACAATGGAAGCATCATTGGCACTCTCATCATCAGTTGTTGTTGACCTCCCCCACCCCACGACTTATGGAAAATCCAAACACGTTGTGATCTATTGGGCTTTCATTGACTGATTTTCGGAAGTAGTTCTCCAGGACTTTCTTTCTAGTCCTCCTCAGCCCAGAAGTTTCACTGAAACCTATTCAGCATCACAGCAAAAAGCTGACAGGAGTGGTGGATGCACCTGAGGTGTATGGTTGGGAATGGAACCCGCGTCTCCCACCTAGAAGGTGAAAATCCTAACAATGAACAACCAATGCCCTCTCCGTCATCAGGCCGAGTCCTAAATGTAATTTTAAATTACCCGCGAGTAGTCCGCAGCCAAGCTCTGCCCACTGCAGTAGGTCGTGGGAGGATCAGCTCGGTCTAGAGTGTGCCTGCGTTCACCCTTCTGTTTGGAGAGGGTATGCCAGCCTCTCCAAACAGAAGGCGCAGGTCTGCCGTTTGCGCGCGACCTTTCTTCTCTCTTTTCCCGAAAGTACTTCAGCTCTCCAACTCTTAAAGACAGCACTCTGCCAGTTTTCCAGCATCGGTCACTCCCAGTGACAACTCTTTCTTCCGAGGTTACCGCCCGCCGGAAGTGACGAATAGAAAAGGTCCCGCCTCCCACTGGGGCGGGGAAGAACGATGGCGGCGAGCAGTACCCGGTGAGAGGAGAGGGCACAGGGATTCCGGGAGCAGCCAGAAGTGTGTATTATGGCCACATCTTCACACACTCTCTCCTCACGCCGCCTCCTGACAGGTATTGAACCCATATAGGGTACGACCTCGGGAAAATTCTCTTAATGTTGCCACGTGTAAGGCGCGGGTTCCGGCTGGTTGCAACCTTGGGAGCCCTTGGGGAGGTCGGCTGGGCATTTTAGAGTTGCCTGAAGTGAAGAGAACAAGGAGCTAGGACCCTAGCTTGCACTACCCCTCTTCTTACCCTAGGGAAGTGGCGGTGCATGGGGCTTCTTTAGCTTTTCCATGAGTGAAGGTGGAGAGGGCTGGAGTTCTACCTGTTGTTATGTGCTGTGGAGTCGGACCCGACTCATAACGACCCCTTCTTGGGTTTCCCAGGCGGTATCACTACTGAAGTAGATTGCCCAACCATCCTTTCTGAGGAGTGGCTGGTGGGTTTGAACGTCCAGCCTGCTGGTTAGCCGTCAAGTACCTTAGGCACTACGCTACCACAGCTCCTACCTAGAGTTCCGCAAACCTTATAGCTTGTAACAGTCTCAGTTATTAGCCCTTGACTTATTATGAAAGTGGAAGCAATTTGTTCCCACTCAGAAGCCTTGTTCCAGTATAAAGGACCATAGTGATAAAGATGATGACTACTGCAGACAGCGAGACATAGTGCATCTCAGACCTTTGGCTTTGTAGTGTGGTATATATACCCCCTACACTTGAAAGGAGCTGTGACATAGATGTTTGAAACCAGAATGCTCTTTGATTCTTGCCTGTCTGCAAAGCTAAATTCTCGCCTGTCATATGTCACCTTTTTAGAGAGGCCAACCCTGACCACCCTATCTAAGGCCCCTACTCTTCTCATATCACTCTATTTCTTTCATCATGATTCACTGCTGCCCGGTGGAATCCCACTCCATAGTCAAAAGAGTAGAGCTGCCCCAAGGAGTGGCCAAGGCTGTAAATCTTTCCAGAAGCAAACTGCTACATCTTTCTCTTAACTGTTCGGCTAGTGAGAGATGAAAGGTCGCGCGGAAACGGCAGACCTGCGCCTTCTGTTTGGAGAGGCTGGCATACCCTCTCCAAACAGAAGGGTGAACGCAGGCACACTCTAGACGGAGCTAACCCATTCACCTTTAGGTTAGCAGTGAAGCGCTTTAACCAGTGCGCCACCAGGGCTCCGTCATGATTTAAAAAACCAAAAACCAATCTCATTGCTGTTGAATGGAATCTGACTCATAGCGAACCCCCCTTGGGTTTCTGAGACGCTATAATCAGTGGCAGTGAGGTTTTTTTTTTTTTTTTTTTTAAGTCACTATGGAAGTAGATCGCCCAATCTTACTTCTGAGGAGTGACTGGTGGCTTTGAACTGCCAGCCTTCTGGTTAGCAGTCAATTAGTACACACACACACTGCCTGGAGTCGGACCCAACTCAGCAACCCCTCGGGTTTCTGAGAAAATATCACTATTGAAGTAGATTAACCAATCTTCCTTCTGAGGAGTTGCTGGTGGGTTTGAACCATCAGCCTTCTGGTTAGCAGTCAAATGCCTTAGCCACTATGCCACCAGAGCTCCCCAATTAGTACAGGCTAATTGTTTATTTATATACCAGTTTATTACCTACTTCCAACTAGAATGTAAACTTTGTGAAGGTGGGCCAGTGTTTCTCTTGTTCAGCTGTGTGTCCCCGATACCTGGAAAAGTACCTGGTACATTCTTGACTCTCAGTAACTATTTGGGAATGACTGAAATTTGTTCTGATGGAATGGGAAGATACTAAAGAGGATGATGGGAATTGTTTGCCTCCCATGTTTTAAGATGTTAACTAATGGCAATGTGAGGAATGTGTTGCCTGTGGTCCAGATTGGAGAATCTGGAGAAACTGGAGAATCCAGGGGCTCCCTTTTGCTCAAATTTCAGGAACAGTTTCATATTTTTGTTTTTTAAATTTGTATTGTGATTTGGGTGAAAGTTGATAGAGCAAATTCACTTTCTGTACAGCAGTTCATACACATTTTGTTTTATGACATTGACTGCAATTCCCCACAATGTAACAGCTCTCTTCCTACTTCCTCCCTGTGGTTACTTCCCTGCGTCCTTCCTTCCTATCATTTCTGCTCCCCTCCCCCCCAGCCATCTCCCTGTGCAAACATAGCCCTTCTATTCTCCCACCATTGATCTTGATCAATTACTCTAGGGAGTATATCTACCTGATATGAATATTCACTGTATATCCCTGTTTATTGTTTGGCTGGAAGTCAAAAGAGTGAGTTCAGTTCCAGACCTGAAAGGTAACTAGGGGCCATAGTCTCAGGGGTCTCACCAGGCTCTATCAGACCAGTAAGCCTGGTCTTTTTTATGATTTTGAGTTTTGTTCCACATTGTTCTCCCAATCTATCCAGGATCTCCTGCACTGATCCCTTTCCAAGTGGTTGACAGTGGTGGCCAGGCACCATCTAGTTCTTCTGGTCTCATGGTCTACTACTTCCTTGGACTAATTGTTTTCATACATGTCTTTGGTATTTTTCATTCTTCTTTGCTCTGGATGGGGAGAGACCCATTGTTGTATCTAGATGGCTGCTTGCAAGCTTTTAAGACTCCAGTTGCTATTCAACTGGATGCAGGATGTAGAATAATGTTTTGTGTAGTATGTTATGCCAATTGAGCTTGATGTCCCCTGCGACCAAGGTCCATCTACTCATGCCCTCAATATGGTTGGCTGTGGCCAAGAAGTTATCATAATTTTGCCTTCAGGAACATTTTTAAGCCTCACTTATTGCTTATCACAAGCTCAGAAAGGAGCTCTGGTGGCACAGTGGGTAAAGCATTTGGCTGCTAACCAAAAGATAGGTGGTTCAAACCCACGAGCCATTCCATGGGATAAAGAAAAGGCAGTCTGCTTCTGTAAAGATTTACAGCCTTGGACATCCTGTGGAGCAGTTCTGGGTTACAGTGAGTGGATATGGTATCCCAAGCTCTCTGTGGCATCTGGTAGTCCTGATCACTGTGACTGAAATTTCTCCTTTTTTTCCCATAATATAGTTATTGTGTCCTTATTAGTCTGTGTGATCTCAGGGCAAATTATTTGACTTTTTAAAAAACGTACTTTTATTGTGGTAAAAGCATAAACAAGACATTCACCAACATGACAGCTTCCACATATACAGCTCAGGGACATTGATGACATTTTTCATGTTGTGCCATTTTTCATGTTGTGCCACCGTTATTGCTATTCTTCCCCAAAATATTCCAGCACCACTAACATATCCTCAGTGTCCCACAAACAAAAGGTTCCCCTTTCCCCCTCCCTCCTACCCCTGGTATCCACTAATAATCTTTGAGATATATATATATATATTATATATATATATAGTTGTTATTTGCCGTCGAGTTGGCCCCGACTCATAGCGACCCCTCCTTGGGTTTCCGAGGCAGTATCACT